GCCCCTCCCTCCCCGGGACCATGCAAAGGGCTTCATTCCAAAGTCATGTATCACAAAATCTAGACTCTCTGCGGCTTCTTATTTAGCCACACATTTCATACCACCGCTTGCACTGATAGCTGAGACTTAGCAACAGTCTATTTCAAAGCCAGAATCAGGCTGCTCAGAATCACTAGGCCACTGGGAAGTAAACAAATATGTCTGGACCACAGGAAATAATGAACTGCCCTTTCCGTAATTCCCTCTGACCACAGGGGCCCTGTTGTTGCAGCAGATCAACGTCACTGCTGTCATTTCTGGTAATGCACAGTGTCAGCTTAGTTTCTTCGCCTTTCAGAAAGAGGAATCCTTCATTCCTTTCGACTAAAATACCAAGAGGGATGGAAAAAAAGGACTCCCCTTGGCTCAGCAAAAGGAACAAAGGCAGGCAATGAGTGGAGCTTCTGAAAGGCAAATACGTTAGGTCTACAGGGCAATCTCTGCTGACCTTATTTTATAGGTCAGGAAGTTCTGCTCAGACTACAGCAGAGCCCTTTCATGGACAACCTGATCTAGGTATAATGCTGAAAATGAACCCACTCTTCCCGTTGTATTTGAAGTGAAATAAATTACCGTTTTTTCTGAAACCTCCTTCACGTAGGAAAGCACAACAAGCTGATCACAGAGAGGGGCAAGACCACTGATGTAGAATTCGGTTTCAAACTGGGACACTGCAAACAAAAGGGATAAAAGATTCATCATTAACAGGAGCAAAAAGCAGCACATAAAGGAAAGGACGCATCGACTCTGAATTTCGGATGCACTCATTTTAGAAATCTAACACAAAGGGCCACAGACATACCCTCCTGACAGCAGTCAGTCTGAGAAGAGGGCATCTGAAAACCTCACTTGAAAATTTCTATCACAAACAAAAAGCAAACCTGATGATAACAGCAGCATGAATGGTCAAATGTGACACTGTGCCCAGCTAGTTTAAAAATGACAGTTAAATCCCATGAAAACCCAATATAGACTACTAATAGCAATAATTTCTTAAACATGCCTGAGTTAGTTTTTTTCACAGTTAGGGCATTACAGGTGTATAAAGGTCACAAGGAAGGCTATTTGTAATTGGGAAACTATAATTCTTTTTTTTTTTTTAACATTTAATAGTCATTTTATTTAAAGATTTAAAAGGAGGAAAGGGTGTATAAATATAGAATACATGATGATAAAACTATTGTTTATGTGAAACAAAGGTCAGAGGAAATAAATTCCCTTCTCCTTTTTAAAGACAGTCTTTTCAATGAAGAATTATCGAATCACTTTAAGAAATAAATGGTGAGGGGGTCTACATATTTAAATCCAAGAATCACCACTTGTACACAATGTTAGCTAATGATTAGCACGTGATCACACCATATTGAGAGAGATAACTGGTTCTGTTGTCAAGTGGCATGACTTTTTGTTGTAGTTTTAAGACATTCCAGCCAATGTATGCTAAGCCATGACCCAGCCGTGTGCATTTGTTTATTTGCAGTGACTGGTGAATTCAGGCATTTACTAGACCTATTCAGTATAAATTTAGAATTACGGTAATACATATAGAAAACTTTTCTGTGAAATTAAATTTTTCATAAATAATTTTAATTAGACAAACATGTTCACATAAGTAAAAATAGGTAACTAATTTGTCAATTTTTTAACATAGACATTCGGAAAAAACACCTTATTATATGACGGACTTTAGGCTTTAATAGGCAACCCCTTGCCCAAATTAGTCTGTTATATGGAGGTTAAACTGTACCCTCTTTTCTTACCTGGGGAAGTTAGTATAGTATAATGTAAATTATATTTAATGTAGAATCAGGAAATTTGAGTTTTAACTTCTACTAAATTGTACTTGGATAAATCATCTTAATTTCTATGGGTATAACTTTTCCTATCTATAAAATTTCTTTAGGTATAACTTTTATTAGAATGTAAATAAAATACTGGTTTGGTGATAAATAATACTGGTTTACTTCTTCAGCCTTTTTTTTAAATCTGGGAAGCTCTTTATCTGACCTTCAATTCTAAATGATAACTTTGCTGGGTAGAGTAATCTTGGTTGTAGGTCCTTGCTTTTCATCACTTTGGTCAATGTGCTTTCTTCTTTAATTCTCTAGTTGTAGGACTTCCATTCAGCCAGATTTCAGGCGGTTCTGAATGATGGTTTTTCTGTGATTTAGTTGTAATTTTGATGTGGTTGTGGGAGGATGTGAGTACTGCATTTACCTACGCTGCCATCTTGACCAGAATCTTTTTTTGTTTATAATTTATGCACTTCATGTAGTCTCTGCCTAAACTATTGTAATTCCCAATTTGTAAAGTCTCAATTTGTAAGATTTAGTACTTAACAAATTAGCATTTTACAGTATGTGAAATTAAGAAGTAAAATAGTCACGTACTTCTACAAATCTTTTCTTGCTTTCTTACAGTACTTGGTTGTAAAAAAGAAAAAAAAGAAAGAAATGTTACCCGTTGAAACAGCCACAAAAAAATTAATATCCCACAGAGAGGAATAATTTTTTGTGTTTTTGAGATTCTGACTTATTAGAAAGAGTTATAAACATCTGGCGTCTAAAAAATGTATAGTCACAGAACTTCTTTAATCTCAATGTTGGTTTTGCCTCATTTACTAGAGAACAGTAAATCACGTTGTTTAGGGCTAAAGCAAATTGTAATCCAGACCTTCTAATATTTCTCTTTTCCTTTATCCTAGTTAAGGACTCTTATCTAAACCACTTTGCCTCCTGTTGTGGAAATGGCTTATATTACTAAAGGTTTTCTCTCAAGGGGGAAAAATATGGTACTTAACCACTAACCATAGTACTAAAATGTCAGTAATGTGCTATTGTTAGTATTCAAGCACATTGTATTTCACATCAGTTGTAGTACAGATGAACTACAGTTTAATAACATGATCCCAGGGCTCCAGGGCCAATACTAGGTCAGCTATTAGTAATCACAAAGCTGGGTGGAAGTTTGCATGGTGGCAATAGCCACCATGATTTAGTGAGCACCTATTATCTGCCAAGTATGTGTGACAGGCATTATGTATGTCATGTCTAATTCTCATAACGATCTTCAAAGGTAGGTATCACCTCCAGGCTTTTCTGGCTTGGGAAGGTGAAGTAACCTTAACAAGAAGATTCTATCCATTTTAACACCATGGTAGTAAGATGTTGGCCAAGTTATTTATGTCCCTAAGCCCCATTTTTCTTCATCTATAGCATGAGAAACATACTACGTGCCCTTAAAAGGGGAGCTATGAGAGTGATGTAAACTAAAGCAGGTAAGGCATATAGCACAATGCCCCATACCTACTATGTGAGCAATAAACATCAACTAATGAGATATCAACTACGTTTTTATCCTTCCCTGAAAATTTTTACATCTTCAAAAATTCCCAGAGTTCTTGTTGTCGTCGTCTCCTCCTCCTCCCCCTCCCCCTTCCCCTCTCCCTCCCCCTCTTCCTCCTCCTCCTTCCTCTTCTTCCTTCTTCCTCTTCTTTCCCCTTCTCTTCTCCTTCCCCTTCCCCTTCCCCTTCCCCTTTTTCTTCTTCTTCTTAACTCATCTGTATTTAAAATATTCTAATACGTATCTCTCAGGACACTAAGTACTGAGATGTTCAAAGGTTTTCTTTTTCTTTTTTCCTGGTAGAGGACAGCAGGATAGAAGATAGAGATCATAAAATAATTATCTTTATCTTGGTGTTATCAGTCTTCTAATCTTGTTCCTCAGTTTTTCTCAGTACCATTATATTCTGCATATATCTATTCTGTATGCATTTATCCTTCTAAGGCAAAAAGTTATTAAAAACCCTACCACCAACATCTGACTTCAAATAAAAAATATCCCAGATTTAAATGCCATTACCGTATTAGCCATGTAATTTAAGTCTTTCAGTTTTTAGAAATATAGTCATTGCAAATGATTTATCTCAGCTTCACTTTGTTATAATGACCCACCAAATTTATATTCCCCATTCATCACCCAATAGGTAAATGAAATTTTCAGCTAACTTATAAGACAGCAAAACTTTTCCTGCCACACAAATATGTCTCCTATTGCTCTCAGTTCTAAATAATACAAAAATCACGTTTACTGTATCTGTTTAATTGACAAAAGTCTGTCAGTTTTCATCCTTTCTATCTAAATAACTTTTGCACTAAGTTTTAAAACTAAGTTGAAGAAGTAAATGGTATATCACCGTTGGCATACTTCCCAGGGTCACTGATTCATTCAGCCCAATATCATTTAGCATCTCCTCTGTGCCAGGCATTGTGCCAGGTCCCTGAGGTACAAACACTGAGCAAAGACAGACCAAGTGTGTACTCTGAAGGAAGCTATAGTTTCGTGGAAAAGACAGATATGCAATGAATAATCACACGATCACTGCAACGGAAACAAGTGCTAAAAAGAGGAGAGTTCCACATGCCCATAATGGGGGGATGTGACCTAGTTGGGGAGCCCCAGGGGGCTTTCCCAGAAAAGCAATACTTGACCTGAGGTGTGATTAAGGATGAGCCAAGGTCAATGAGGTAAAGAAGCAGGAGGAGCGTTCTAGACAGAGGGGGGGGAAGGAGCACGGTAGGTGTAAGCAGGCCAGTGCAGCTGCAGCACAGAGACCAAGGAGAGGCCTGGCTGATGCCAGAGAGGCAGGTGAGGGCTGGCACGGGTCCCTCTGGTCGTGTCCAAGAGTCTCATTTTAATCCTAAGAACAACAGGAGGAGACTGAAGGGTGGTGACATGATCTGATTTGTAATTTGACTGCACTGGGGAGACTAGATTACAGTGATTCACAGGGGACGGAGATAAACCAGTTAGGAGGCTGCTGCAGTGATCCAGAAAAGAGATTATGGCAGTTTGGACCAGACCGGTAATGATGAAAATTAATATTCAGCAAACACACACTGACAGGACCAGGTGTCAGTACGGTGCTATGAGCTGTGCACATATTAACTCTTGGAATTCTCACAAACAACATGTGAGACAGGTATTCTTTTCCACAATTTCCGGATAAGAATACTGAGGTAGGTAAGAATTTGTTCCAAATCCAGGTAGTAGACAGAACCAGAGCCCACTTATTCAACTTCAAAGCCAACTACAAAGTCCTTGTGTAAAAATTAGGAATATAGTTAGACAAAAGGGTCTCTGGAATGAAGTTTCAAAACTTAAAACAAAAGCTCCTTGACCAGTTTCATCACGGTTCCAAGCGATAAGACCTGAAGAAGAACATGGTCTTAGGTTTCCCCTTAGCAAAACGGAGTCTCCTTTGAGGTTTTATACTCACGGAAGGCATACCTATTTCAACGTATCGGCTTGGCAAGTCCCTCATTTCACTGGCATGCCGTTCCTTCACCGAGCATATCTAGAAAATAAATTCACAGGTTATTTTACTCACTTGATGGAAAACTCTTCATAACATGTCATTCACTATATGATACTTTCATTAAATTAACCATGTAGTACTGAAGATGGAGTGCACACAATCTACCCACTGACTTAAGTGACAAAAATTAATTTCCATGATATATAGCAACTGTTACTTATATTCTTCAACATTATTCTTCAATAAAGTCTTATTCCAGGGCAAAGAAAGGAAGGAAACTATTATATAGTTATAACGTTTCAAATGGCCCATTCTTTCCAATTCTACTTAAGACTACTTCTGTCATCAGACAATAAAGCTCTGGCAGAAGCACATATCCAAAAAAGGCCAATGGCTCATTTGGGCAACATTCGTACTAGGTCTTGTGTTTCTGATTACATATTGGTGATTTATTTTATTGTTGCTAAGTAATACTTAGCAAAAGTGGTACAGACTCTTCTTCTTTTGAGTATATTAAAATCAATGTGTTATGTAATTTAAATCAGGTAAACTATAGCCTGGCCCAGGCCTGTTTTTTGTTTTTTTTTCAGGTCTGTAAGCTAAAAATAGTTTTTACATTTTTAAAGGGAAGGGAGAGGAGGGGAGGGGAGAGAATGAAATATTCAGCAGAAACAAAATGCAGCTTAAAATCTACAATACATAATGCTAGCCTTTTACAGAAAGTTTGCTAATCCCTATTTTAAATTATATGTATACAGTGTGTGTGTGTGTGTATATGTGTATATATATATATGTATATATGTATATATGTGTGTGGTGTGTGTGTGTGTGTGTGTGTGTGTGTGTATATATATATATATATACACACACTAGTATTTATCACTCACACACACAACACTCAACACCTGGTTGTTTTAGGGTAGTAAGACTAGAGATATTTTCTTTGCTATATTTTCTAAAGTAAATATATTCTATTTTGTAATAGGACACAAAAAATTTACCTAAGATCAGCCATGGAGGTGAAAAAAATCTAAAATTAAATACTGATCATTGCCACTTTCATCAGGGATCAGGTTTTTTCCCTTTGTCTTTAGATAGTATTTCTTATGTTCTTTTATAGTTGCTGTCCCTAAGTATAGCTATAACATAGAAAACTCTAAAATACAGAAAACCCAAAGGGAAAAATACAAATACTATTCGGTGTCTCAGCACAAAGTGAACACCATTAACCACCTTTTAAAAAATATTTTATAAAACTAACAATTTACTACAAATAATATATTATTTAAATATTCTTCCACAATTCTTTAATGTCTTCATAGCATTTCATTACATAAGTATGAGAGAATCATTGATCCGCTGCCTCTTGCATGCTCCCTATTGGGGATCGAGCCAGCAACCCAGGCATGTGCTCTGACTAGGAATCGAACCGTGACCTCTTGGTTCATAGGTCAATGCTCAACCACTGAGCCACACCGGCTGGGCCACAATTTGTTTTTCATGGCATGGAAAAGAAAGATTCTATCTTAAAACTTGAGCATATGAAAGGATTGAGCATTAAATGATTATTACATGCTGATAATACTCAGGTGAAAGTATTTTAGTTGCAAGAAGCATTCAAGAACTCATATTCCTTTGGAGCATCTTCAATGAATCTATAACAACATGGACTTATTCTAAGACAAGCAAAACCACCTTGACAGAAGTCCCCCAGCCGATAATCAGTGTCACACTGTCCTTCCAGCAGAGGCTGCAGGGGTACATATCTGGGCGAAGACTGATGTCATCCCGGGGCACATTAGTGATTCTTTGCTTTGAGGTGATGTCAAATATCTTCACACCCTGGGGGAAAAAAATAGCATTAACATGCTCTACTGGGGAGAAGAAAAGTAACGGAAAACACTGCTACACACCACTGACAACCAGCTCTGCAGAACATGGACAGTGTCTACGGAGCCCTGTGGGAGTCACGCAAAGGAAAATGTTCCCCCTCCACACAAACCTGTGAGAACCCCACAAAGGGAAAGCCTCTATGCTGCTTTCTGCATGACAGCGATTTGTTAGTGGATGGCATCGGCGGCTCAAATACAACACAAATGTGAAATGTGCAGACAACTGCATTTCCAAAATGACAGCCAAGTAACATTTCTAATTGTATAACATTCATTCCACTCACTACAAAATGAAGTTTGCTTTTCAGAAACACTGTGAAATCGAAAATCTACTACGTACAGAAAACTACACTTGACATTTAAAATACTCACATGGAAACATCGAGCAAGCAGCTAAGTGAAAATAAACCAAGAGGCCACAGGTTTGCTTGCCTTTCCTGTGACCCAGGAAAAGTAAGTCCTGAATAGCAAGGTAGATTCTGGGAGAACAGAATAGAACTAATTTGCTAAGTTATACCTCGAAATTCAAAACGATATGCCAGATGTCAAAAAGATAATTTTAAACTTTCTATTTGCTCTAACTCATATTGAGTAAACTTTTAAGTAAGTGTAGCACCAAATATCATGATTGACTTTTTATAAGGCAAGCCTGTATTTTTCTTGTGATTATATTGGGAGTAAAATGGAATCAGCAATATTGTGCACTTGTTTCATCTCAACTGTTACTTGCCCTTGGCTATTAGGCAAAAAGTATTTTCAAGATCACATTCCCAATGCAGCCCTTCAATTATTAAGATGCCTTTTCATTTACTTGACTATTCTCCATGCCTCAGGTTTCTTCCTCTAAAATAGAGTCCGGAATATGTTGGGAGTTCCTCTCTTATGAAAGCCAAGAGCAATCTAATTTCTTTAACCTTCCAGGTATGACATGAATTGCCATTTAGCAGTGACCACAGCACAAGTGGCATCTTTCCTCCTGGTTACAGCCCTCTCACTGCAGCCCCTCTTTCTCGCTGAAGAAGCATCAGGAAGATGGTGACAGTCTCTTACCATATTATTGGCCCAAGCGATCAGATGGCCTCTCCACTTCACACTCCTCCCTCCTTACTATTTTTGCCTGGCCATTGACCAAATGACAAACAACTTATTCTCGGCATTTTTTATTCGGACTCATAGTACTATATCATTTGCATTTTGGAAAGAATTCCCACTACATTTTATCTTACCCAGGACACTGTTTAAAATGTATGAGTGTTGAAGTTACTACAAAGTCAAGCCACAAGATGGCACTAACATACCAAACTCATGGAGAATACTGCACATGAGTCAAAAGATCTGTATCACAAAATGTTCTTCAAATGATTGCCCAAGAATTAATTTATTTGGTAAATTGGGAAATCAAAACCTCATAATGTCTCTCTGAAAGTAAAAATATTAGTTACAGATTAAACCACAATAGTTAGAAGCAGTCTGTTTTTCATTTAACCCAAGAAAAATAATTTTTAAATGGCATTTGAACAGTAATTCATGTCATAAGAGAGATTTGCTTTAGGATTAAACTTATTTTAAAAGTTCAGAGTAGCTAGGGTCTTTATTGTAAAGGGGAGAATGTATAAAAAAATATCTGCTAGATAAGTTTTATTACCAAATATAACTGGTCCAAACCTCTAAGGCTGTAGTTTAAAAATTCATGAATTATTAAGGTACAATAAAATAGTTTTTCTTGATATATCCAATTTAAATACTTTAAGAAAAGACATTTATACAATATATAACTTAATATATACAAGATGTACTTATACAATGTATAACTTACAATAACCTCATACATGTAATCCTGAAACATGTTTACCTACCATTTAAAAGTCAATGCTGATGATATACAGGATTTTAAAAAATTCCTATCATCAGAGTAGATTTCACTTTACCTTAGTATATTCTATGTCCCTTCCCACCCCCAAAGAAGGGGGGAAATGAGTATAGGAGAAAGAGAGCAAATTCATATTTTACTTATATTTTTTAATGTCTTTCTCAATAGTTAGGCTCATATAGTAAAAAAAATACAAAATAAAGGGGGGAAATCCTATAATCAAATGTAGGGGGGAAATGAGTATAGGAGAAAGAGAGCAAATTCATATTTTACTTATATTTTTTAGTATGTCTTTCTCAATAGTTAGGCTCATATAGTCAATAATCAAATGTGTCCATCTTCACAAATAAGCAGAGAATGGTCACTTTTAAATGCCATAAGGGCTTGAAGTTCTTTACTATCCATGGAAAAGAAAGATGTCCTCACACAGTCCACAGTGGAGACTGGAGGCGGGGCTTTTACGGAACACATGGAGTCCTGTCTTTCCATTAGACAGTTACAGGATATTCCCTCAAAGACCTGCTAACCCTCTCGTGCTCTCCCAGCCCAGGTCCTAAGAAAGAAATCGCCAACCATGCGTCCCTGCTTCCTGTTAGACCCTTAGGTCCTCTGTCTGTGATTCAGCTTTCCCAAAGAGCCAAGGAGGTAGGTCACTGAATGTGTTTGGTATTATGTGACAGGGCAGGTATGAAATTTAGGAAATGAGGAAAAAACCTGTGAATATACTCCTGGTACACACTCCACTAAAGATTATGGTAGCTGAAAACAAATTCGTATATTAAACATGAGGAACTGATAAGACTGAAATGTTTCTCTTCCATCTGTGGTCTGGATCAGGTTGGGTGACTGGGCTGGGGCCAGGGAGTGCCCCATGACCACCTGCTGGGAGGAACAGTGCTGGTCAGGAGGAAGGTGTGGTGGAGGTGGAGGACGACATCAAGTTCCCGTCCTCACCAATTCCCACCTAGACATGGCCAAGGCAGGATTAAAAAGGGAACAATCTGTACTTGTGTTTTAGAAAAATTAAGTACGCCCCATATCTTAAGTTAAAAATTCTATAAAATGATAAAAACAAGACCCCAGTGAAGGCCATGATTCAACTCCCTACAAGAAAAAGCCTGCCTGGGATGTGGTTGGTTGGGCAGAGGGGGCTGGAGGTGAGGGGAGTCATGGGAAAATGCCATGCAGGTCAGAGGCTTTGGTCAGCACTGGTAGCTGACACCTGAATAGCCACTCCCACCTTCACTTGATGACACAGTTCAGAAGGAAAGCAGGCAACACAAAGGCACCTACCAAAGACAGTTGTGCCAGTTATGAGAGGCGGACAGTACCTGTGCACACTCAACTTCCTTAGTAAATGCAGAAAGCAGGCTTTAAAAAAAATAAAGCAGTTCCCTGCTGCACCAATGATCATGTTCTTTGGCAGCCATTTTTCTAAGACAATTTTGTTCCGATTCAGGCAATAACAAAAACTTCCTTCTCCCACCACCATCCAACATAAAAGATTTGAACAAGTTCTCAGAAAAATCTATTACAAATTCACAGCAACTTCAACTCTAAATACTGAAAACAGACCTCTCCGTAAATATGAGCTAACAAGAAAAACACCACTAGCACTATGGAAAAATTCAGTATTTGTAAACAATAGGACTTATCCAGGGTACCAGAGAAATCTCCCACTCTGACTCCAAATGAATGACAGTCATAAAACAGAGAAGAACCTCAAAAATAATCTTTCTTGTTCTCAGGTGACAACAAAATTAAGCAAGAAATTAGTAATAAAGGTTAAGCAAAACAAAATAACTGAAATTTAAAAAAAATGATATTGTTGGGTGAAAGAGGAAATCAAACTATAATGGAGCACTCTGAAATGAGAATACAAATACTACAAGCCTAAACTTTAGGGGATACAATCACAATTATAAACAAGGGAAAGTCCACAGCTCTAACAGTTAATGACCAAAAACAGATGTGCAGGTACTAACTACATGACAAAAACAAAAATACTTTACTGAGGGAAATAAAAGGAGAACTAAATAAATGGAAAGATACAATATATTCCTGGACAATAAGACTCAAAATTCTCATGAAGAGTTTAAGTCTTCTAAATCAACATACGATTTTAATGTGAGCCCGAAGAAATTCTCAAAGCGATTATTTCTAGAACTTCTAAAATACAATAAATACATTTGAAAATATGTAAGAATAACAGGAATTTTTTTTAAAATTAAGCAATTTGTGTGTGTGTGTGTGTGTGTGTGTGTGTGTGTGTGGATTGGCCCTGCCGGACAGTAAAACATTTTATAAAATTAACACTCAAAACAATATAGCAATGGTCCTAGAATTGACAGATGAAGGAGAAAGAAAGGAAAGAACTGACAAAGATGAATCAAATGAAAAGGTCAGACAGTGTGTGTATGTGTGTGTGTGCAGGAAACAAGGCCTCCTCAAACTACCCAGTAGTATTCCCACTATCTTCCTAGAGGATCCTTTAGCATTAATGGCTCAAAAGCTATAAAAACAAAACCAGTAAGTCCATGCCTAGAAATTCATGCTAAGAAATGATCAGACAAGTGAGTAAAGATGTATGTAAAGTTATTTATAACAGTCAGAAATGAACTAAAAACTCGGGAATGATTGAGTAAAAAGCAGTAGAGTGAGACATATGAAGCATATGCATTCATTTTTAAATGTGCTTATATATTTACTAGAGGCCCGGTGCACAAAATTTGTGCACTCGGGGGTGGGGGGAGGCAGTCCTTCAGCCCAGCCTGAGCCTTCTCGCAGCCCACCCTCGGGGGATGTCTGACTGATGGCTTAGGCCCGCTCCTCCTAAGCCAGCAGTCGGACATCCTTAGTGCTGCCGCAGAGGTGGGAGAGGCTCCGGCCAACGCCGCTGGATTGCCAGCCGTAAGCCCGGCTTCTGGCTGAGTGGCGTTCCCCCTGTGGGAGCTCACTGACCACCAGGGGGCAGCTCCTGTGTTGAGCATCTGCCCTCTGGTGGTGAGTGCACGTCATAGCAACCAGTCGTTTTGCCGTTTGGTCGCTTTGCATATTAGCCTTTTATTATATAGGATATTAACATAAAAAGATGTTCAGGGCATATTAAATAAAAAAGCAGATTGTAAAACAGTTTTAAATACGATGACACTTAAATAAAATATGAATGTGTATCCATATATAAAAATCTAGAAAAATATCATAAATAATAATTAATCCTAGAAATAAGTGATAGATTTTCATGTTATTTCTATTTTATAATTATTCTATATGAAATGTGAATTATTTTTATAATGTTAATAAACATGGGGATAAAAATCCATTATTCTCTTATTTTTACAGTCAAAATAATTTAGGGGAATAGTTGAAACAAAACAGTGAAACTCAAAAATTCACTGAAATTTAGAAAAGAAGGAATGTGTGAGCATACTGAATATGAATTAGAATTAATTCACACAAACTGTAACTATTTTTAAATAAAACATTACTATAGAAAATTGTTAATGAAGCTTTGCAATAGCAACCAAAGTCCAAATTCACTCCAACTGATCCTTTCTGTTGTGGTTGGTGTGCTTTTTGGTTACAGTAGGAAGTTGTGGCCAGCTGGACCATGGCCTCCCTTTGTCTCCCACTCTATCTGCAAAGAAAACTTCCAGCAGAGGGCAAGAAGAAAGGAAGGAGAGAATTCTGAATTCAGTCCGTCTCGTGGTTGAGTCTGAGTTTCCAGAGTTCTGTTGCTACAAATCTTGTGTCATGCTCTGACATGAAATCAAAGAAGCAAAAAAGCTTCTCCCTTAATGATAGGGGGCGGGGCAGGAACGTCCCTGGCAGTGAGCGAGCAGACATTCTGTGCAACTGATAGGGTGCTCAAAAAAGTGTGTGTGGGGCTAATATATTAACTTCTGTAAATGAAATAAATGTTAATTTACATTACAATTTTAGACATGATTCGTGTTATTTTCTTTTTTTAATGTTTTTATTGATTTTTTTTTTAGAGAGATAGAGAGATAGAAACATCGATGAGAAAGAAACATCATCAATCAACTGCCTCCTGCACGCCCCTCACAGGGGATCAAGCCCACAACTCAGGCATGTGCCCAGACTAGGAATCAAACCGGTGACCTCTTGGTTCCTGGATCAACACTCAACTGCTGAGCTACACTGGCCAGACTCAAGTTATTTTCTGATGTTTTTCAAATAGCAGTAGTTTCAATCACTTTACCTTTATATTTTTTGGATGAAAAAATAAGCAATAATCTACACTAATAAAAGAGTAAGATGCAAATTGACCATCACTTCGCAACACCCATCAGCCAATCAGGAGTGAGTATGCAAATTAACCCAATAAAGATGGCGGGTTAATTTGCATATGCAGGCGCAGAGTGGCCAGGGGTGGGGCAGCCGCTTGCGCGTGCACCGGCACCAAGCAGCCTGTGTCCCAGGGACAGGCGTCCTTGGGAGCCAGGCCACTCTGAGCCTGTAGGCCCACATGTAGGCCCGGAGAGGCCGGGGTCCCGGAACACCCCCAGCCACTCCGGGCCTACACCCGCAGGCGCCAAACGGCCGGGGGCAGGGCAGGAATGTCCCTGGCAGCGAGCAAGCAGACAGCAGGGCCCTGCTTGTCCCTGGCCGTGGCAGCGAGGGGCAGGCAGTCTCCCACAGGGCCCCCACAGAGAGCAGACATCAGGGCCTTAGGTAGCATTAAGCAGGCAGGTCCGCAGAGAGCAGAGAACCATGGGGAGTAAGACTAAGCCATCAGTAGGACATCCCCTGAGGGCTCCAGATTGGAGAGGGTGCAGGTTGGGCTGAGGGACCCACCCACCCCCACCCCTCCATGTATGAATTTCGTGCACCAGGCCCCTAGTGTATACATAAGAAGCCTTAAATATATTAGGAAGGTCATTGTTCAGAAGAATTCTTTTGCAAGTCAAAAAATTTCCCCCTAATTTCTTAGTTCAGTGTATGTTTTAAGGTCATGCTGGTTTTATCGAAGGATAATGAGTGCCATATTCTATTTTGTTCACAAAGATGCATGTATTTATCTTTCATCTCCCAAACTGTAAATGTATTGGGGATAGAGCCCACATCTTATACTTGGCTAGACACACAGGCATAATAAATAACAAATACTGAATAGGCTTTCCTAGGTATACTAATCTTATTCTTTCCTTCATTGTTCATACACACAATGTGTTTCCTTTAAGAGGAGCTACAAAATTCCCCTAAACCCTTGTTACTTAGCCCATCTGTAGTTAGTGATATCCAGTAGAATTTGCCCTAATCTCAAAAACCTAAAGGAAAGAATCCTGTGACTCTTTATATAATTACTATATATCCTTGCTTTGCCCTGGCCGGTGTGGCTCAGTTGGTTGGGTGTTGGCCCATGCACCAGAAGGTCACTGGTTGGATTCCAGGTCAGGGCACATGCCCAGGTTGTGGACTCGATCACCAATAGGGGGTGTGCAGGAGGCAGCCAATCAATGTTCTCTCTCACATGGATGTTTCTCTCTCCCTCTCCCTTCCATTCTCCCTAAAATCAATAAAAACGTATAATATATAAATCTCCTTGCTTTGAGAAAGGACTCACTTGCATTGACCCCATGTTCTACTCTTGAAATGTTGGTCTATTTCCCTTTGCTCAATGCCAGAGGATATAATTTGTGCACAGCTTGTCAAAATTTTGAAAACTACTTTTAAGGCTAATCTTCCCCTATTCAGTTTAGGTAATTGCAGTTCCTTTATTTCAGGGATGTCAACTGGGTCTGAAAGTGTTTATTTGAAATGTGTCTGCAGCCTGCGGAAGGCTCTGCGGCTGCTGCCGAGCCCCCTGCTCCCCATGGTCTCTGTACCTCGTCTGCTTCTCCTCCACGTTACCTGCCTGGCCCTTGAAGCCTCCATTTCTGCCTTCCCTCACCACTCCACTTTATTCTTCACTAATGAGTCCTATTTTCCAACCAATACATAGTATAAAACTTTAAATGTCAGCTAATAATTATGGAATCATTCCGATTACTGTCCTTTGAAACTCTCCAAATACATCTGCTGTACATGCAAGATTTGATTTATCACATTTTGTAGGACATACGGTTTCATACAGGAAGGAGAGGACCAGACAATCCACTCTCCGTTTGCTTTTTTAATCCTAATCTATGGGAATTTCAAGCAGAAGCACATTGTCTGGCAGGAATGCCAGGGAAAGTTCTGCTTCAGTGATTTAAGTAAAGATAGGTTGCTTTTCTTACAAACATCCCACCCTCATTTAACTACCACAAAACGATCTGCCTATATTTCACTGACATTTAATAAAATCCATTTCTTTCTTCTAGTCATAAAACTGCCTCGAGACCTACCAAGCACGAATGTTCTACAAAGCATTTTAGAGGGTTAGCCATTGAGTGAACTACCTTAAAAGCAGCTGGTTAATTTATTTGGTTCATCTTCCACATCCTGTAATAGTGAATTGTCATTATCACAATACTGAGAGCAATTTAAGCTCAATGGGAGCTAAGTACAGAGAGAGAAAAAACTGTTTCCAAAAGGTCTATTTTTTTGTTGTTGTTGGAGAAAAGTATTTTAGGGCTTTATTTCCCATAAATCCACATTCTGGCAGTCAGCACTCTCAGTACTTGTATTTCAATAGGAGCCCTCACATCTTCAGCAATATACTTTATTCTTCTATGTTTTGGGCTGATAAATCTATCTAGTACTTTCCTACCCGACAGAGTGGTCAGGATGCACATCCCAGAGCCTCCCTCACATGTGGCGGGATTCCTATCGGGCTGTAATAAAGCTGCCGATTCTGGCCGCACAACACCTGTCATTACCCATCACCCACTCTTCCCTGATGGAGGAGAGGAAGTATGACTGGCCCCTTTTTAATCATCTTGTGATCTTTCAAGTCTATAAATCACTGGACTCCTCCAGGCTTCCCGAACACCAGCAGCACTGCTCGCTCTCAGGCAGACAGGAAAGCAGGGAAGACTGCACTGAGGTGTAAGGCCCTGGGCCGGTCTCAGACACCAGGTGCATTCCTGCAGGAAGGACCAGGGGCTCAGACAACACAAAGACTCCATAAAAAGCAAAACGCTCCATCAGAGAAGATTCTGGAGCTCAAGATAATACAGCAGAGAAACAAAGAAAAGCAAACCCAGCAAATTACAACATGCCAAATAGGACTTTGCTCTTTCAAAACAGACAAAGGGAATAATGAGGGGGAGGGCTTGTCACAGAAGGATTTACAAACCCAAGATGAGGAATGAAATTTTCAAAGTCAAGAAGGCAAGTGAGAAGAAACTGGTGAACAGCGAGAAGACCGGGGATGGTAGGTGGCTGCTGACAGCAGACAGGAAGGAGGCTTGAGTCTTGATGGAGGCAGGAGCGGCTGGAAGAAGATCCCAGTGAACAGCCAGTGCCTTTGTCTTGCTTCTGGCTTCGGCCCGGTACCAAACTTTAGAACACACAGCTTTTTCAGACGCCATCAAGAGAAGACATAAGGCACATAGGAAGAAAAAGGGAACTTCCCACATATATTATTGCTTTAAATGCAATGGTTATTTTCTCAACAAGTTATAATCCTTCAAACTCCTTTCCCTTAAGGCAGCGGTTCTCAACCTGTGTGTCGTGACCTCTTTGGCGGTCGAACGACCCTTTCACAGGGGTCACCTAAGACCATCCTGCACATTAGATATTTACATTATGATTCATAACAGTAGCAACATTACAGTTATGAAGTAGCAACGAAAATAATTTTATGGTTGGGTCACAAAATGAGGAACTGTATTTAAAGGGCCAGGAGGTTGAGAACCACTGCCTTAAGGTAATTAACATGTTTAAAAGCAGTTAATATAGGCTAATCCTGCTGCAGACGATTGCCAGGCCACTTAATAGGCCTCTTGATTCACGTAATATTTGAGTAAACACAAGTCCAATGCCACACAGATTCTGGAAAACCCCTCAAAATTAACTGATCCTGTGAAAACTATGTAGATAGAATAATGTTTTGAAATTTAAAAATACTCCACATCAATATAAGGAACAGTTAATTTACTGACCAAGAAATCTAAGCTCTGGGTTCAATGTGATTTAAAAAAAAAAAAAGCTAAGTGCCACTTAGGAGCAGTTTCCTTTATATTAAAAACTAGTGCCCTGGCCGGTGTTGCTCACTGGTTAGTGCTGACCTGCACTGAAGGGTTGTGGGTTCGATTCCCATTCAAGGCACACATATCTGGGTTGCAGGTTTGATCCCCACCCCAGGCCGGTGTGCATGCAGGAGGCAACCAATCAATGTGTCTCTCTCACATTGATGTTTTGTTCTCTTTCTCTCTCTCTCTCTCTCTCTCTCTCTCTTTCACTCTCTCTCTCCTACCTTCCCTCTCTTCCATTCTCTCTAAAAATCAACAGGAAAAATAGCCTCGGGTGAGGATTAACAACAACAACAACAACAAAAAACTAGTAATGACAGATGGATATAAATCTACATATCTACTGTAGCCAGCGTGAGGTAGACTCCTATTTAAACTAGCAATCTGCAGTTTCTGCATATGCAAACTCACAATTGCAAATGTGATTTCAGAAATAAATGAAGGTATTTTAAAACAATTTTAGTTGGGTTGGGCGGGGAGCTTCCATTACGGAATCCACAGACTTAACAGATTTGATGGTTCAAACATCTTGGGTCTTTCAGTCAGTTTGCACCTGAGGCTACATTTCCCAGGACTGGGTTCAACGCGGGACCCCTTCAGCAGCAAAGGAGAGAAAGCACAGAAGTCATCCACTGGGTAATTAACCTGGATTCATATTCTGTGATGAGCAAATATCTCTAATTTTAACTATACATAAATAATCTCAATCATAGGTGACTGCAGGGAGATCTTTGTACAGTGAGGATATGAAGAAAAATGCAAAACTGCAGCCCTGACAGCCTCCTGTACACCAAAAAGATTGTGGGTTCGATTCCCGCTCAGGGCACATACCTAGGTGGTGGGTTCAATCCCCGGTCTGGGTGCATGGGCGTATATAGGAGGCAATCTCTCTCTCTCTCTACTTCTCTCTCTCTCTCTCTCTCTCTCTCTCTCTCTCTCTCTCCCTCCCTCCCTCCCTCCCCCCCCCTCTGAAGTCAATGAAAATATCCTTGGATGAGGATTTAAAAAAATACAAAATTGTTAAGTCTTAAATAACAAAAAAGTCACATGAACACACAAGTTTCTATATCTGAACAAGCACTTCACTCCATTTTTAAAAAAGCAAAAAGGGAAAAACTAAAGGTCTGGGAACTACAGAAGAAACCAAGTGAAATGACCTGCCCTAGACGGGCGCACTGGCCTGCCCTTGGCAGCCTGTGTGGAAGCGGCAGGACTGAGGGTCGGGGGCAGACACGCATCTGTAGACTATATCCACCCTCTCACACACGCCAATGTCTACTCTGAAGTCTCATTATGACTCCTATATCAGGCCTCTCTGGGAGAAAGAATAATTATCCTAGATTTAGCCAAAATTGGAGAAAAGCCTGCAGGCTATTCAGTAAGCAGCAATAATTTGTGCTCAAACTAACAATAAATATCAAATGGACAGTCTTCATTGTCCAGGCTTGTATGGTAATATTAAAAGCCGCCCCAAGCAAAGAATACAATGAGACAAACTACATTGGAAGATATATAAGATAAATGGCTAGTAAATAAAAATGTACAAAATCAGTAATAATTTAAAAGAGTTACAAAATAGAACTATCTTTGTATATTAAATTGGTAAATAGAATGTGGTGAAATAGGTCTGCTCACACACAGCTAGTATAAAATTGGTATGTCTTCTGAAATGCAATTTTACTCAGCAGTATGTATCAAAAGCCTAAAAAGCAACCATAATCTTTGACTCAATAATTCCCAAAGTAGGAATCAGTGCTAGACAAACATTCAAAAGCATAAACTAAAGTTCATGCTCAAAGATTTCTAGCTTCCTTACAGCACGATTTGATAACCAAATACTGGATACAAACTAAAGGTCCAATTATATGAGAATGGTTAAGAAAATTAAATAGACCTGTGGGATAGAATATTATGTAACCGTTAAAGAATATTTGCGCCCTAGTTGGTGTGCTCAGTGGTTAGTGTTGTCCTGTGGGCCAAAGGGTCCTGTGTTTGAGTCCCAGTCATGGGCACATTCCTTGGTTGCAGGTTCAATCCCTGGCCTCGGTCTGGACAAGAGCAGGAGGCAACCAATCAATGTGTCTCTCTCACATTGATGTTTCTCTCTCTCTCTCATCAATGGAAAAAATATCCTTGGGTGAGGTTTAAAATAGAGAGGGAGGGAGGGAAATCCAAAGAGTTGCAATTAATTTATATATTCTTTTATTATTGCTTTTTATTTTTATAAAAGTAATGCCTGTTTACTACCAAAAATACAAAAAAGTCAATGACAACCAGAAAGAACAATCTTAATGCTTCCCAGACATTGTTAGTAATATTCACAGTTAATAATTTACTGTAGTCTTCCATAAATACTGCTACATAATCATGTTTCTACAAAAAAAAAATAGAATCAGACCACACATATATTTTTGTAAAGTACCTCAATAGAAGCAACTAGCTAATGCCGGGCATGTGAATTTTTCCAACTGAGAAAGAGGAGCTGACATCCAGGAACTGGCCTGGCACGCCCAGCTAGGGCGCGGTGTTATCCGGATGAATATAAACAATTTCGGAGAACACCAGCATCAGACAAGGCCTCCTGAAGGATGAGGACAAAAACACCACCACTCCATAATCATGTCTGAATGCAGACAAAATATAAATGCTCTTCCAGCCACATACATGAATGACAAAACATCCCCCTAACCAGGCTAAAACGGAGACTGTTGCTTCTTCACCAATTATGTTTTTAACCTTGATTTAGCCTTTCCTTCTTCTAGGTAAGATTTATTAAAACACCAATGATAGAATTATTCTTGCTTCTTGACAGTATCCAATCTAGAGCAAACCCCCTTTTCCTTAAACCCTCCCAAATCACCCTGTACCAACACAAATCCTCTAATAACTTCTTTCTAACACCTTTTTCCTCACACCCCATTAGTGTGTGCCTGGTGATCTTTGGCTGCAGGTCAAGACACAGCTAATTCACTATTGTTAGACATTTAGTTTTTTCCAATTTTCACTGTTACACATCAAAGAGGAATATTGGTCGAAATTGAATTAGAAATTAAAAGGAAACAAACAACAGGGGAGAAAAATCCAAAATGCATAATGACAAAAGACTGCAAAATTACTACACACACTCACACACACACACACATTTTTCCTTCTTAAAAAACATGGAATTTTCATTTTCCTTCCTTCTTGTTGCCTAACTGCTTTCCACCATAGCATTCTACCTATCTGCCTTTGGAAATGCACTGCCATTCCTGAAATCCAGATACTATGTATTCACAGACCCAACATGGACCCTGACACAAAATTGTCTTCAAGAAACCAAAGAGTCCTAGTCGGTTTGGCTGGGTGGATAGAGCATCGGCCTGCAGACTGAAGGGTCCCAGGTTCGATTCCAGTTAAGGGCACATTTCCGGGTTGCGGAATCCATCCCCCAGTGGGGGGAGTGCTGGAGGCAGCCAATCAATGATTCTCTCTCATCATTGATGTTTCTCTCTCTCTCTCCCTCTTCCTTTCTCTCTGAAATCAATAAAAATATATTTTTTTAAAAAGAAACCAAAGACACTAGTGAAATGAATGTGATTATGTTTGTATTAGTGATGCCAACTTACAATGGCTGAAATTGTGACCCTTTGCTATATATAGTCTTATCTTTTTAAAAAAAAAAGGGGGGGGGGAAGGAATAAAAACCTCCCAAAGTTAGTAACCGTAGTATATAGAGCCTTATTTAAAAAAAGACAGAGTAATCCTCCCAATCAACTGGTATTAAACTCAAGGAAACATGATAAGCATTCTGAACTAGGCAATGATTCTTGCACAGTCATTTGCTACTCAAAATACTTAAGCACAATCACAGCACTCTCCACATGCAAAGCGAAGTGTTTTCAGCAGCAGCAAAGGCTCTAGGAAGACACGAGGCTTAACATCAGAAGTCGGGCGGGGTGGGGCAGGGGGGACGCTGCAATCCATATGGAGACATTACAAACGGAAAAGTTAGTTGAACTCATTGAAGAAAAAAAGGGCTTCAATTCTCAACAGGCTTTTGATGGACATGAAACAAGGAGGATCACTGAGGATAATGAAGTTACCATGGATCCATCTCAAAGACTTTGGGAGTCCTACATACTGACATGGAAAAGTAATTAATACTTGAGACAAAAAACTAAATTTTGAAAGAAATGAACACCTATTTTTGAGACTAAAAGTGATTTCTATTTTAAACACTAGATTTCTGTTTTTAGCTTCAGCCAGGTGAGCACATAAATATATATACTTTTATAATATAGCTATTTTACAACTTGGTTTTACATACATAAAAAAACGATTGTGGCCATTGTATTTGTGTTTTACCTCCTAATAATTGATGGTTTTTTAAATAAATTTTGGTATGTTCAAAGCATGAAATGAATTTCTAGGAATGGAATGAAGATTTATAGCATAGTACCTAGTAGAAATTAAGGCATTTATTTACAACAGTTCAACATGCAACCACTAGGACATAAAGCTGAGGGCTGCCTGTGCAGTAATGCGTGAGAACAGTTTGCATGTAGGAGACTGCCTAAGCTCAGGCATCTGACCACTTGCAGGAGCGTCTTCCTGGAGACCCACCGGACAGCGGACCAAGGCGGATAACTGAGGCCAAATCCCTTCTGACGCCAAGACCTCCAGTCCCAATCCGACGAGAAGATAAGCAAACACACATGGAGACACCTCTACACTCCTGTTTAGTGGTCACAGCGGTTCACTGGGCCATCGGAAATCTAAAACGATTTGTATTCTTACAAAAAGCTGCTCTATTGAATCCTCTTCCAAAAAAAAAGAAAAAAAGATTCAAAATGCAATTTGCTGCTGCGAATCACCATTGGAAACTTACAGAAGCTAGTTGATGCTACCGCCTTTGTCCTTCAGGTAAAATTTGCCACCAGCCTTCAGCTGGGAACAGTGAGACGCTTCTCCGCATTTCATTCACACGGGTCCTTTCCTCATCTGCTGAGTGACAATTTCCAGCTTACAAAGCAACTTGTCCCTGCAGCCAGGCCCCCCTCATTCTACCCCACCACCCCGCCAAACAGCTGACTACCTCGTTTCTAAAAATGAACTCTGCTGCTAACAGCACTGAGACAATTTAATAATTTGTCAAAGAGTAGAACCAGTTATTATGAAACGCATTTCAGAGTTCAAAGGTAAAGATCATAGGAAGCCAAAGTTTATTTGCTAACAGAAAAATTTGTGCAATTAAAAGAAAAATCCAGACAAGATCTGCCTGACAGATTTGTTTCTAAAAGAGAAACCTCATTGCTATATGCTCATGTATTAGAATTCTTGCTACACAAGGCAGTTATACTTTTTAAAAAATCCATTGGTTCATACATTGGAAAGCTCTCTCCAATGGCCTTTTAAGAGATGTGCTTTTTCTTTTCCTCCCCTCCCCCTGCCCCAACATAGAAACAAAACAGAATTTAGAATAAGCTTTTTATATGCTCATGTGTCAGGCAGGGGAGTCCATGAATCTAGCTATGCCATTCAACTACTAAGAAGTTACCTTGAAAGCCTAAAATAAAAGTTTATGCCACACAGAACTATAGCATCCTCTTCCTAGTCCCTGGTGGATATGGAGTATCTCTAAAGACCTAAGAAGCTGGAACCTTTAAAGGAAATATCAAAAAACGTGTCAAACTGTAGTATCAGTTTTTTCTGCTACACTGTTCTTTTGCAGGGTTATTCTGAAATGTTCTAATTACTTTTAATAATGTTTTTAAGGACTGGAAATTTTTAATAAAATCAAAACAACTAACTAAAATAAGTTAGGCATTTTTTCAAATATCGTTATGAAATAATATCATGAATATCTCACTGTGGGATTTCTATTTTTCATGTTTCACTTTTCTAGTCTCCAAGCCACTTTCACTATTTACAGGAGTTGGCATATAATTCCAAGATTCATTTGGCTGTCAGTCTAGGGAAAATCAGTGTTCTTAAGGGTTAAAAATGCTTTATTCCAAATTAAACCTTCATCTGTCTGGTCTTTGCCCTAATTTTTTTTTGAACATTAAATTATTTCTTAAGGGCAGAAGGTCATAACCTCTCAGTTACATGATATTTGTCTTTCTTTTCCTCCCATTGTCCACCATCTGCTCTAAACTGAGAGGGCTTGATATCTGCAATATACAATCATTGCAAGGTTACCACCATTTGCTAAATGTTGGACTCTTCAAACTGTTCTGCTTAGCTCATGGCGCTAGACCAGTGGTCGGCAAACCGCAGTTCGCGAGCCACATGCGACCCTTTGGTCCCTTGAGTGTGGCTCTTCCACAAAATACCACGTGCGGGCGCACACGTACAGTGCGAAGTTGACTTAAAACTTTAAGTAAAGTTTATTAAGTTAATTTTAGGGAACGTTGTGGAGTCATGCTTCATTCTGAAGCAGGTGGGAATGTTGTCAAGACTGACTCAAGGGCCCAGGCTAGAATGACACTCAGGAGGTAGGAAGCTTCTTAAAGATCTAGTGCCGTGGTCGGCAAACTGCGGCTCGCGAGCCACATGCGGCTCTTTGGCCCCTTGAGTGTGGCTCTTCCTAAGCCTTAGGAGTACCCTAATTAAGTTAATAACAATGTACCTACCTATATAGTTTAAGTTTAAAAAATTTGGCTCTCAAAGAAATTTCAATCGTTGTACTGTTGATATTTGGCTCTGTTGACTAATGAGTTTGCCGACAACTGCGCTAGACGAAGTTGGATTGAGTGGTACTGTGATTGTGCCAATGTAAAGTTTTGCTTTCCTCATTTTTCTAAGGTCTAAAATGTTGTAATTGGTTATTTAAAAAAACAAACAAACAAACACCTCTCCTCTTAAAAATTTGCTAACACTTCAAGATGAAAAGAATCATTTTACAATACTACCCCTTTCTTAATTAAAAGCTTTTTTTCTATTTTAAAACAAACCAAACACATTAATGGCAATACTACACAGTTAGAGTGCTCTTTAAAAAGTACATACACATACAGAAGAGAAGGAAGGACTTTCTTTGGAGATTTCGGCAAGCTTCACCAAATTGCTGTACATTTTGGAAATCTCTAGTTATTTAACTGTATACAAAGAGGTCACTATGGTTTATTGAATAAACACTACTTTTTATTAACTACATACATACTTACATAATAAACTTTAATGAATCCAAATAAATCAGTCAATACTTTATGTTGAAGTCTCTAATAGAGGATACATTTACAGACAATGTTTCTTAAGCCTCTAACATAAGTAGAAGACATTATCATGGCTTTTTAAAGGGAAAGAACTCAAAATCAAAATGCCTGAAGAGGAGTTAATTTGTTGGTCATCCCATAAGTAATTATAGCAAAATTAGTGGCTCTTAAACCTAAAAGCGGTGCTGGTACAAGAACTGATACACAGATCAACAGAACTGAAAGTCCAGAAATTTACGGTTAACTTATTTTTGACAAAGGGACCAAGCCAATGTTGAAAAAACAAACAAACAACCAACGTTTTCTACAAATGGCCCTATGCAAAGGAATGACTTCGAACTCCTACCTGATACCATACAAAAAAATTAACTCGAAGTGGATTCTAGGGCTAAATTTAAGAGTTAAAACTATGAAACTCCTAGAAGAAAACACAGGCATAAATAGTCATGATCCTTAGATCAGGCAATGACTTCCTAAATATAACACCAAAACCACACGTGCTCCCTCGCACTCCCGCCTGCCACCCTGCTCTCCCTCACCCTTAATACTGTCCACACCCCAGATTGGGGGGACGGATTTGAGCGGTGCCTCCTGTCTCCTGAGGGGCCTCCGCAATAAAAAAAACCTCTTTCTTTTCTCCAAAGCCAATGTCAGAGTTTTGGTTCCCATGTGCATCAGGCGGCCAGCCCTTGCTTGGTAACACTATCATTCTGTGAAGCAGCAGAACAAGGGAAAAAGACAGGTAACTGTCATAAACCATTAGAAAACATTCCATGTCTGAGCCTCAAAGTAGCCATTCCATAGCTGTGCACTGCAGACCACAGGCCACCTCCTTTCAGCAAGTTCTACACTGAATATGAAATAATGTTCAGAGTGCCAGCACAATAGTTGCATTTTGTTATAAAGATGGTTTTAAAAAATACCATTGGTTAATGAAAATAGAAAAAAAATTGACATTCTAAAACAGAAGTACTGTTTTACAATTTACTATACCTATAAACAAACATATAAATGCAAAAAAGGATTATTTTACTCTCCTGTTTTTAAAATAGCGCTAAGATAATAAAATATGCGAGGAACATGTCAGTAAAAATAGCCAGAATTGTTCTAAAACTTTATCAAGGCCTGCAAGAGATTTTCTACAAAGGGAAAAAAACACTAGTTTAACTAATTTTGTTATTTTTTTTAATGCCACCTCTACCCCCTTTTTTTGTGGGAGAGACAATATTTCAAAGTGTTAGAAGGTAGTTTGAGTAACAACCTGTCTCTTTTTCTCCTGCTCTGAAGCTACTCCACGGGAATGCCAATGGGAAACACTGAGCCACACCTCCCCAAGACATGATGGTCTTATGATTTCATTACATTGTTATTTCTCAAAATTTCTCCTAATGAACAAACATTAAAAATGTTGACAATATATTAAAGAGAAACCCCTCAAAGCCTGCCTGTGGTGGCAGACACAGCACTTACCTTCTTCCCTCCAGTCACAAACTGCTTGCAGCTGGACCTCACAAAGTGTGGGTGCACGGCAATGATCTACGGAACAAGAACCCGACGCCAGGTTAGGAGTCATGGTTAAGGCACAGAATAAACGCTATACATCAGAGGCAGCATGATCTAAAAATTATCCTTATATATTGGCAGGAAGTAATCTATTCAGGTAATATTCTGCAACAATTGCGGATGTCTGAGTTTTGTGCTTCTGTAAAAATATTTCTTCTATGAAGCCAGGTCAAAGCTAAAAGTTGAGAGTGAATTAGTTCTAGTTTCTGGATGAGTGAGGAGTCTCCCTCCTTACAGACCACAAGGTAGGTCAATCAAGGTGTCAAGAATGTTTGCAACTGAATATCATTCACAGATGGATCTCGGAGAAAGAACCCAACTAGCTCCTTCCTTGCCCAGGATGCCTTCCAATGGCTGAAGGCACCCAGCGGAATAGGTAGGGCCGCGGAGCCTCAGAGACACCGAGTGTACTTACATCAAAAAGCCGCAAGACCAGAGAATCATGCAGCTAACCATTCGGGACCTTCCCTTTCACCTCCACCCTCAGTTCCTGTCCCCCAGGTTCTCATTCTGTTCCCACTCAGCCAATCTCTTTCCAACCCCTTACACAGGTTTCTCCCCAGGCTGCTCCACCCCATCACTTCCCACGTCGTTTGCCAGTGGCTTTCTGAAGGTCTTGAGGCATCATTCAGTGCAGGACTATGGGCTACCTTCTTGGCTGTAAGCCGGCACATACTCTGCCTGGTGCCTTCTTATCCCCAAACCCACGAAATCACCAATACATTTCAGGGGGGTTTCTAACTTAGCACAAAAAATTTCCAGGCATTAGAAAAATCCACACAATTATATTTTCATGAATCTTCAATTAAATACATTTTATGTTCTTATTCTTACATCTCTTGTGGATCTCCTCTGTTCCCTCTGATGCTTCTTAGATCCCTGCTGTCATTCACCTCCCCTCCCGCCCCGCCACTGCCTGAACCTTTAACTTAGATGTTCTAAAATTTCATCATGTTTTCTTCTCTGCTCACTCTTTAACCTTTAACTAGATAATGCCCTTCAAAGTGGTTTCACCATACTCAACTGTGGTTATCAACTTTGGGTTTTTAGGGCCACTCTCTATCCTGAGTTCCTCACTCATGTTTCCAAAACCTCCATAGCCTCAGAGACACCGAGTGTACTTACATCAAAAAGCCACAATATTCCTAAAAGATGTGCTACAGTTATCTAATCTCAAAACCAAATCAGCAACGTCCTTACTCAAATCACCCCGTATTTCAGGATGGCATTCCCACACCAGTGGCAAAGCAAGAACCTAGATTTCCCCTCACCTCCTTCATCTTTCATCACCCTCATCAAATCCATCACCAAGGTTTGTTAGGTCTACCTCCTAAAGCAGTGGTTCTCAACCTTCTGGCCCTTTAAATACAGTTCGTCATGTTGTGACCCCACCATAAAATTATTTTTGTTGCTACTACTGTCATGTTGCTACTGTTATGAATCGTAATGTAAATATCTGATATGCAGGATGGTCTTAGGCGACCCCTGTGAAAGGGTCGTTCGACCGCCAAAGGGGTCGCGACCCACGGGTTGAGAACCGCTGTAAAGGCTTTCCAAATTCATCTCTTCTACTCCATCTTGAATACGGGCTTTTCTCATTTTATTGCTCTTCACATTATCGAGCTTCACAGGTGCTGTGTTTTAACAAACTGAAGTCAAGACCCTCCACCAGCAAAAAGAAAATGACTCGCTTTACTGCGATCTTTGCCTTTTTGCAGTGGCCTGGAACTGAATCCTCAATATCTCTGAGGTTTGCTGCACTCACTATTGCTCTTTTTACTGAGACCCTGCCCCGCCCCGCCTGGAGCACTGCATTAGCCTTCTAACCTGTCTCGTTCCCAGTCACTCTCCTCCTTCAATCATGCTCTATTTGGACAGATTTGGCTTTCTCAAACACCATCTGATCCTTTCTCCTCTTTACCTGTCAACCCATAGATGTTAGAATAAGCAAGTGAGAAAAATAAATGACCTCTTCCTTTAACAACTACAATAATCGCTTTAACTAACATAACTGTTTATCTGAAATTGGTCTTCCTGCCTTGTGGCTATCAGCCTCCAAGTTTATACCGCATAAGCTGCCATATTACTTTTCCTTAAGCTCACCTCAGTTTATGTCATGTCTTTGTTCTTAAACATTCAATAATTTCTCCTTATCTAATGGATGGAGCCCAAATTCCTTAGCCTGGATATACAGCAATCCCGCTGAGTCAGTATTTTATGCACACACTATCTACACTAGACTATTTGCCACTTCCCGAACACAATTTAAACTTTCTGGCCTTTCCGTTTCTATTATTTTGTTCTTCCACGTGGAAAACCAACTTCTCCATCTGCCCTATCCATTCACTAAAGCCCAAACATCATTCCATCTAAAACCGTCACTAACAAGAACAGCTAAAGGTAACTTTTCTCTCAGCTTTGGACTTCTTCATATTGTTTTTACCAACCGAGTCTTTAATTACAGGCACGTGCGTGTGTGTGTGTGTGTGTGTGTGTGTGTGTGTGAGAGAGAGAGAGATATCTCACCCACTACAAGAATATTCCTGAGATCACAATCATATAATATACATCTTATACTCCTTTAAAGGACTGAATAGTTTCTATAGTACATTGTGTTTAATAGATGCTTATTAACAAAATTACTAAAAAATTGGTAGCACTCAAAGTATTGTAATCCTATGGCCTTCATTAAGAAAACCCTTAGAAAAATTAAAATTTACTGAATACTTACTTTAATGGGACAGTCAAAGGTCTCATGAAATTCTTCTCCAGAATACAGTCCAAACACTTGCACCTAAAAAGGAAATAGATCCAGTCATTTCACCATGACAGCAACAAAGTAAAACATTTAATAATCGAAGGTCCGTCTGGTCTCTATTCCACATCCAATGAAAACAATTATAACAGGGTGAGAGAACACCACCACAATTAAGCTCTTCTAAGCATCTCATGGATAGAGTTCCCTTTACTCACTACACATTTTTCTTTATTAATGATGCCCATTTAAAAAAATAAAACACATATGAATAGGTCATTAGTATTCTTTTATGAGCTTCCCATAAGCTATCCCTACAGGAATTCTTTTCCTTCCCTTAAAGGAAAAAGGAGCTTCGTTTTTGAGTCACATATAAATCAACCATGCAGAGCAATGTGGGAAGAAATCAGGTGAACTGTACTTCACTTACAATCTTATGCTGAATATTCCGAGACTGTATAAATGTATGGTTTAAGTTTCTACTTATCAGTGCCTACTTAAAGTCGTTCCAGGCCACTTTATTCATAATTAATCTATTTCCTGAGTTGTTTACTTTTTAAAAAAATGAATAGACGTATGATAAAGGGTACAAGTTGTAAATTTACAGCTTCATCAACTTTTAGGAAATGAACATACACCTGTAACCACCACCCAGACCAAGAAGGAAAACCGAGATGCTCCTTCCCACCCCTCCCAGTCACAACCTAACTGCTACTCTGAAGAGGATCGCCAGTTGGGATGTGGTGGTGTCTGAGTTTTACGTAAATGAAACCGTAAGTAATTTCACTGGCTTCTTTCGTTTAACATTTTCTTTGTGAGATTTACCGATACCGTTGTACACAGCAGTAGCTGATTTCTTTCACTGCTGTGTAGTATTTTAATGTATGAAATTTATGTATCGATCACTGGGGTTGTTTCCAGACTGGGGCCATTACGATCATGCCGCAATAAACACTGTTTACAAATCTTTTGGTGCACTTTTATAGACATTCATATAACTAGGAATGAAATTGTTGAGTCAGAGGTTATGCATCTATTCACGTTTCATAGGCAGCCAAATGGTTTTACAAAGCGGTTTGGATAAATTTCCACTCTCGCTAGCAGAGCGTAAGAATTCCAGGGGCCCTCAATCACTTGGAGCTATCAGGGGCACAGAACTTTCCCCAACACTTGGGATGTGTTTACTATTTTTCTAATCTCTATAAAAGTGGCATTTTTCTTCTTTAAATTCTGTAAGAATTCACTAGCCGGGCATCTAGATCTGATTGGCTTCTTTGTGAAAAGTTTTTAATTACAAATTCAATTTATCAAGCAGATATAAAACTTGCCCAACTTTTTATTTCTTTTTGTTTTAATCCTGATAAGTTGTGCATGGTTCACTGTTGCAAGTTCAAAGAGAAAAATTTACCCACACTATAATTTTTGGAGAAAAGTTTATTCACTAAAATCTAAACTCTATAGGACATGCCATTCATTTAGTGACTACTATTTTTATACCCTTGTGCCAAGTATGTCATTTGGGTTCCAAGAACAGCACATGGTACAATTTAACACAGAAGGGATTAGATTTACCCTGAAGTAGTCTGTTAGAATGTATTCTTAACATAACAATACATGTATGCCCACCACTACATTGCTTCTCATTGCTTAGAGGGTATCCAATCACTACTTTTATATAAATGTATTAAGCATAAGATACAACAGACTTCTTATAAAATGGTGATGAAGAAGTAGGAAAGAATTGCATTCAATTCAGAGTTTTACTTTACCCAAGGGAAGTTTAACCTATTGATATACAGAATCCAAGAAATTTGGGTAAAAGTAGGGGTGTTACTATATCATCTGAATCTTAATGGAGTAAATCAATAAGTGGTCAACTCACTGAAGTTACTTCAGTATAAACTCATGCTGAACACGGAAGTTCAAATTCTTCTAACATAGCTATTTCCCTTCTGTACAACAATGCGACAGCATGGTCCTGTGTCAAATCTTCTATTACTACTGCTAACATGTCTCTCAGTGATCCCACATCCTTCACCTCGGTGGTTCTGACCCTGCCTACCCTGCACAGTTACTAGTGGCTAGGCTTCACCCTAGACAAATTAAGCCTTCTGCTGGGGTGAAACTATATTTTTAAAGGACCACGACTGACGGGATACAGCCAGCACTAAAAATCCTGCTCTGCCTCACTTGGTCCTGATAGCAACACTGCCAGGTATGAGAACAAACACCGTCACACCCATTCAACAGACGATTCTACAGAAAAATAAATTACTTACCTAAAGTGATCAAAAGCAAGAAAAGTGTCCCAAGCCCTATTTTTCTACATAATGCCATTATGTGAGATAGCCTAAAATT